GTTATTAAGCCCTTAGAGTTGTCTCAATATCTGGTGAATGAAACCCATTTCACTCCGTGGGCTGTATTTAACACTATGTTTGACAACAGATATAGGATTTCAATGAATACTCAATACAAACTATATTTGAATTCATTTATGAGTTCTTTGTCTCAAAAACAATACCACAGATTGGGTTGGGATGACAGGGAGGGCACCGACACTCACAAGAGATTGAGAGGTCTTGTCATTGAAATCGGTTGTGGAAATGGATATCAGAAATGTATGCTTCTGAGAATATCCCTTAAGAGTTTTACCTTTAGGCCAGTTGGTAATGGAGGATTAGAGTACTGTATATAGGAGAGTAAACCAGAGTTTATATCGTTATTAAGGCTTCTGAAACTTATGCAAACCGATAAATATCTCAAAACAAACACAAATAATAAATACTATTATTTGAGTGCTCTCCTAATCTCATGACATATATCCTCTCATTTGGTCTCAAATATAGCAATAATTCCGAAGACTTTGAATACGTTTGGCATAAATATCTCAAAACAAACACAAATAATAAATACTATTATTTGAGTGCATTATCACAGACTAGAGATACAAAGCTATTGAATGAGTTTGTATTATAGAAATGAAAATATTATTGTTTTATTTATTTTAATTATTTTCTAGACTTTTGGAGCGATCAGTGGATAACTCATCGGTTTCTGAGACACACTTCTCGTCCCTATTGTCAGACCTGTCCTCCAATTCCTATGCCTTACCCATAGTCTGGAAATACTTTCAAAACAATTACAAATTTCTTATACGAAAACTGAGTTCAACTCAATTGTCAAATGCATTCATCAGTATTTGCAAATATTTTGGTGATATTAACAGCAAATCTGATGTAAGAATAATAATATTTATGACTTTAACAACATTACGCTAAACCTAATAAATATTGTCATAAAAGGTGGAGAACTTCCTAAACCTGTACCCAAACACTGGTCTCACAAATAAGAGTCGTGTGAATGGATTGACGGAAATCCAGCAAAATATAGATTGGATTCAACACAACGCCGACACTATTGGCCAGTGGTTGAGATACAACCATGATTAATTATTTAGCTATAAGAATTTTCATTTCTAAATTTAATAAATCTCATATAACTGTAAGACAATTTTAACTTAACTACAGTAGTGTATATTTATTTTTATGTTTCGTGTGAAAAAGGCTTGTTATGTAAAATTCAATTTTCATTTTCATGTTTATTATGTCAACTTAAGTCAATAAATATTTTATAATAACAAAATATCGTAGTACTATTAAACTGCATCATAAAACTGCGGGTAATCTGTAGTTTTCGTGGAAAACTACTTTTGTCTTATACTAACCTTGATCTTTTACCACTATTTACTTTCAAGAGTTATTTAATCAGCAGATATTTATACTAATATTTATTTTATTATAAATATTTAGTACCCAATAATTTATATTTTAATATTTATAATATTGTAATAATCCATTATTCAACAAGTTTAGTATTTATAATACTTGCATTTAAGTACAGTATCTAAAAACACTTTTTGATTGACAGTGCGCTCCCAAAGTAAAACAAATACAAAGATTAAGATTAGGTATAAGTTTTTATTTTACGATATTATTGTGTGTTCAATTGATAGCCAATGCATGTTCAGTATTGATTTATCAATGAAAAACATGACAATTGAGTGATATTTTTAAATTCAAAGTAAAAGCATTGATATGTTTCTCTCATTTCAGGAAACATTTGTTACAAACGTTTTGTTCAATATATGCACTGAAACTTTGATAACAGTTATGTTTAGTTAACGTAAAACAGACAAATTTTACCAAGAAATGTGTAAAATACTAGTTATTTTGAGTGTTTTACTTATATTTTTTGGGCAAGGATTAACATTTAAAAATAGTTATGAACACCTCTCACATCCAGATCCACAAAGTATTGAATACCTAAGCTGTATGTCCGATGAGGAACTGTACGATGTAAGTAGCACCAGTATTGGCACACATTTACCTCAAAACATATCTCAACTAATCGGTGATGCCTTTTATCTGGCATTTAATGGATTAATTGATTACGAGATCGCATTGAATTTGACTAAATATCTCGCTTTTGACGGCTCAGTTAACTCGTGGACTACCGCTCAGACAGTATTTTCCAATATTAAGCCATTTATCATATCTGATGTTAAAATAGCACTTAATTATTATGTGAGTGATATAATTGGCAAACAATACAAGACATTGGGATGGGATGACTATGAAGGAAGTGGTGATCACCAGAAAGTATTACTTCAATCCCTTGTGTTAGACATCGCATGCGAATACGAAATGCTTGAATGTCTGCAAACTTCACGACAAAAGTTTATTGAATGGAAAACTGATACTAATTATAAGATTACTACTAATTTACTGCCGATTATCTTAAAATATGGTATTCAAGACATAAGTGATTTTAATTATTTATTAGACAAATACCTGTATATAAAAAGTACAGAAACAAATGAGAAGTTTATTTATTTAAAAGCATTGACTTCTAACCCAAACACAGAATTTATTCAAATGTGAGTATATTTTTTATATAAGACTACAAAAGTTTTATCTTTTAATTATTTAATTTTTTTTGTATAGACTTTTAAGTAAAGCAAGTGATGAGAAGCTTATACAAAAAGAAGATTATTTGCAGTTTTTAATAAACATAACACTTAACAGTGAACCACATGTTGCGGATATAGTTTGGCATCACTTTAGTGATAATCTCAATGATATACTCAATAGGTATTGTGTAAAAGTTTACATTCAGTTAATCATAAGATTAATTACTTAAGTTTTTGATTATAGATTTACTATTAATGATTCAAATATTGGGAAACTAGTGTACAGTTTAAGCACTAAATTCACAAATGATTTTCAAAGGCAACAGGTTTTCATATAAGTTATGTTTTTAATTCATTGATAACTAACTAATAAATTAATTATACATTTTATAAAAGGTATTTCAATTTTTCGACAACTATTCAAATGACAATCTGTTTAAAGATAAGGCATTAGTAGTATTGGACAATAATATCGCATGGATTGACAGATATAAGGCACCGGTAGTTGAATGGATTACCAATCAATGTCCAAATGAGGTGTGCGTTTGGCATGACTTCCGACTCAATCCACAAGTAATTCCTCTGCAATACTATCTAACCCTAAGAATCGACGTAAACAACGATGTCTTCAGCGGAAGTGTTGACATTGATGTGAGTGTCGACAAAGACATCGAGTACTTTGTGGTACATTCAGCCAACAAACTTAAGATTATCTCAACAAATGTCACTATCAACGGAACTGGAGCTCAATTACCTATTAGACAGACTTTCCATTACTCGCCAAACGACTACTTTATCATACAATTAGCCAATAAGTCGACGCCCAATACCTATCGACTGAAGTTTGCATTTGAATCCATACTGACCAACGACTGGAACTCCGGTCTCTATAAGATATCCTATGAATATAACGGCGAGACTATCGGTGCGGCCGCCACTCAGTTATGGCCAGAAAACACCCGCAAAGTGTTTCCCTGTTTTGATGACATTTTGTTTAAATCTCGTTTTGATATAACATTAATACACGAATCGGTTATGAATACAACACTCACTAATATGCCGGCTATTGATACTCGACCCAACACACCGGCGCCCGGATGGACGACTACTAAATACCAGAATTCAGTTTCGATGGTTACCTATTTGGTGGCCATAATTGTCAGTGACTTTGTCTGTCACTCAATCGATAGGAATATTACAGGAATGGGCTATGATACCAGGGTCTGTGCCACCCGTCCCATGGAGTATAAACTAGGGTACGCCACACAGACTGTCCCCAAAGTGTTTCATGTATTTGAGGACTATTTGGGTGTTAAGTATTCGCTACCAAAATCCGATTTAGTAGCCGTTCCCGACTTTATGGGAGGTATGGAGAACTGGGGGTTAGTTACGTTTGACGAGAGTTCCCTATTATGGACCCCCAATGAGGATACCAGTGCTAATAAAATGAATGTCAATTTGTTTATATCTCATGAATTGGCGCATATGGTATATACCGGAATTTTATCATAATTTTAAAAATATTTGCTCTGAATTAAGTTTTAGTTAAGTTTTTTGTACCTTGATAATCAGTGGTTCGGAAATCTGGTTACATGTCATACGTGGGCCCACTTTTGGCTCAATGAAGGGTTTGCATCATTCATGCAAAATGTGGGCATAAATGGCACGGAATCTCAATGGGATTATGTGAGCACTAGTTTTCAATACTAGTATTATTTCAAATAAATTATTAATGAATTGGCAATAAATTATTTAATACACAAAAAGTGGGACTTATTTATCAATAATACCCTTTCGAGTGCTATCAAAGGAGATATAGTGGAATCGTCGCCACCTATTATACAGCCTGTGCTCAAGTACTCGGACATGATTTTTTCAAGTGCTATACTCTATGACAAAGTATTATAATTGAATACAAAAATATATTTTAAGTTTTTGTTTAAAATATTTTTGTTAATTTGTAAAATATTTTAGGGATCTGTAGTCATACGAATGTTGGAGTTTGTAATGGGAAAGCATGCTTTTAGAGATGGTATACAAAAATACATTAAACAATATGCTTATAAATCAGTGATCACTGAGAATTTATGGGATTCATTGAATGCAACATTTCCTAAAGTACAGTAATATTATTTTAAGCTTTATGATTTTTCTAATGAATTAGGTTTTTAATTAGGAATTTAATACAAGTGTAGTTGAATTAATGGACAACTGGACCACAAAACCTGGTTTTCCATACATTACTATCAAAAGAGATCCACAAAATCCCAACACTATTACTATAACTCAGGAAAGGTTTCTATCAAACGGACAAAAACCNTGTAGTTGAATTAATGGACAACTGGACCACAAAACCTGGTTTTCCATACATTACTATCAAAAGAGATCCACAAAATCCCAACACTATTACTATAACTCAGGAAAGGTTTCTATCAAACGGACAAAAACCCAAAGAGGAGTAAGAAATATGAAAATGTTTTTAATATAAAACTTAATAATTTATAAAATGATTATTTTCAGCACTTTGTGGACAATTCCTCTCTCGTATTATACGACAAATAAAACACAAAAATACAAAATAATTATAATTAAGGAAAAGCAACAAAAGATTGATATTTCAGATATGAGTCCAGAATTTAATGGTTTAATCAAATTCAATGTCGACTTCAGAGGAATGTATTTCATTGACTATACACTCGAAGAGTGGAACAAATGGATCACTGCTTTGGTCACCAATGAAGACAATATTGTAGACAAACTCACAGCCAATGAGAGATCGGAATTCATTTTGGAGACATTTTATTTGTCGAAAGCAAACAAACTGTCGGTTATTAAGCCCTTAGAGTTGTGTCAATATCTGGTGAATGAAACCCATTTCACTCCGTGGGCTGTATTTAACACTATGTTTGACAACAGATATAGGATTTCAATGAATACTCAATACAAACAATATTTGAATTCATTTATGAGTTCTTTATCTCAAAAACAATACCACAGATTGGGTTGGGATGACAGGGAGGGCACCGACACTCACAAGAGAATGAGAGGTCTTGTCATTGAAATGAGTTGTGGAAATGGATATCAGAAATGTATGGAAGAGTCATATAAAGAGTTTACAAAATGGAAATCCGGTCAACCACTACCTCCTAATCTCATGACATATATCCTCTCATTTGGTCTCAAATACAGCAATAATTTCGAAGACTTTGAATACGTTTGGCATAAATATCTCAAAACAAACACAAATAATAAATACTATTATTTGAGTGCTTTATCACAGACTAGAGATACAAAGCTATTGAATGAGTTTGTATTATAGAAATGATTTTAAATGTATTATAGAAAAGTCACTAATTTTAATACTTTTTAACAGACTTTTGGAGCGATCAGTGAATAACTCATCGGTTTCTGAGACCCACTTCTCGTCCCTATTGTCAGACCTGTCCTCCAATTCCTATGCCTTACCCATAGTCTGGAAATACTTTCAAAGCAATTACGAACTTCTTATACGAAAACTGAGTTCAACTCAATTGTCAAATGCATTCATCAGTATTTGCAGATATTTTGGTGATATTAACAGCAAATCTAATGTAAGTTTTGGAACATTTATGATTTCAACAACATTTAGTAAAACTAATAAACCCTATCATAAAAGGTGGAGAACTTCCTAAATCTGTACCCAAACACTGGTCTTACAAATGAGAGTCGTGTGAATGGATTGACAAAAATCCAGCAAAATATAGATTGGATTCAACACAACGCCGACACTATTGGCCAGTGGTTGAGAGACAACCGGTTAATATAGTATAAGTCATTTGTAATTACATTATTAAAATATTTTAACGTAACATTTATTAAATTGATATTTTTAAAATAGCCTTTATTATTTATGAATATTAATATTTATTTGAACACTGCAAAAACTTTGACTTTTTACTGTTACATATATTTATTTAAACAAATAACAAATATTCTTCTACAGTATTAACATATTTTTGAAAATAATAATGTTTTAATGATGATCTGTAAAGTAAACTTGATTTAATTATTTCAAATGTTAGCAATACATTTTTATTACATATCTCATATGCATAAATGTAAATTTAGATTATACAGCATAATAATTTTTTTAAATTAATTATTATTTTGTCTTGTTATCGTTTAGTATGCTCGATTTATCAATGGAACAAGTTCAATTAGTTTATTAATAAAAATATTATAATGTAATTAGTTAATTGACCCTGTAATGTGACGATTATTATGTTTCATAGCAATTGAACTGAAATATCAAAACAAATGTTAATTACATGTTTACGGTTTTTGTAATTACTAGTATGTCATATGCTATGCCATCATTAATGTTTAGACTATTATAATTATAATTTATATGTTAGTATAGACATTTTTATTTAAATACATTTTATAATATCAATTAAAACCATCAATAATGATACAAATACTGTTTAACTATAAGTTAAGATATATTACCGTATAAGCATAATAAATGAAAATCTTATTTTACAATAATCTTGTTTTTCTATTATATCATAAAAATAATAATTTTATAATAGTTTATGAAAAATAATTATTATTGATATTTGTACATACTGTACTTAAAGTACAAATTACGTTAATTACATCATAAGACTTATGGCATATGTTAATAACTACATTTTCTACTGTAATATATTCTAGTGTAGTAAATAATACTGTGAAAAATTGCTAATCAACTTTTGTATAATTCTTTAGCCTAAAATAATTGTTTTGTTTATTAAATGCCACATAAAAAAATTTATGTTAGTCTACAATTAAATTGCAAACTGACCATGGTAAATAATAATATGTCTATGAAAGGTTTTAAAATAATTGTGCGCTATTTACAATTCACTGGAAATGCATATTTTGGACACAATATAAACAGCAACTTATTTACTTACAAGAAGTTATTGCTATTAATGTTAAATATTTCATATATTCTGTTCATTATCTATCAATTCTATACAGAATTTTATTCAATACTTGTAATGCATAAACAACTAATCATTGTATCAAATAAAGTGAAAATATTATACATTTTACGGTTTATTGCAATCGTGGGATTTGTGGCTAAAACTATAATCGATTGCATATTCCTATGCATTAGAGGCCAAAAAATTGTGGACTTATTTAAAACAAATGAAAATCTCTATATCAGCGAAAAATGTGAGACAAAAATTGGTATAATTTTAGTTATCTTGACATTTATTATAGCATTTTCACTGGAATTCTTATATTGTTGGGCTAATTATATGACTACAGCGTATGGATTTGTAAATTATATTTTAATACCTATTGATTTATTATCAGTTAATTCACAATTAGCTATCATGTCATTAATCGCATACAAATCATGTATCATATCACAGCAATTTAAATTCATAACTAATAATATTAATAGCTCCGACTTTGATTTAGATAAGATTTATAAGTTTATAATCAAAGTGAACATATTTATTAAAACTTTTGATAAAGTTATTTCCTATTATACCTTGTTAACTCTTGTGGTCTATAGTATTAGATGTGTTGTTGGTTTATGTATGCTAGTACAACCTGATAAATATGATTATTACCTCAGTATTATGTCAGTGGTCGAGGGGGCAGTCATGATATTATGTGTGGCTATAGTATGCGATATACTCCCCAATAGTTTTCACAACTTTTTATATGAGTTAAGAGTTATTTGTATGAATGACACTGTANCTCAGTATTATGTCAGTGGTCGAGGGGGCAGTCATGATATTATGTGTGGCTATAGTATGCGATATACTCCCCAATAGTTTTCACAACTTTTTATATGAGTTAAGAGTTATTTGTATGAATGACACTGTATTTCATAATAACAATAAAATACATAATAACACAACACTATTGCTAATAAATAATATGAAACACGAGTTGTGTTTCACAGCATTTAATTTGTATAAAATTTCCAAACAAACTTTAATTACCTGTTTGTCATTGATTTTGTCATATGCTGTCATT